AAGGGCTAATGATAACCATCAAGACGCCTGCCATTTGGTAAATATATGTATATATATATAGTGACTCAATAGCTGGCAATTAGTATTCTAGATCTCGTAAATGAGAAATTGAACCTTATAAAATACAAATTAAGCAAGTAAGGCTAGATGAATCGGCGAATGTTAAAACTTAGCAGACTCGAATATATCGCCAACACTCCATAAATAAGCACTTGAATCATCGTAATAATCACATGAGGCATCTAACATTTTGCCTCATGAAGAATCCTGCTGGGCAAAGTTTCATAAAACTCTAATTTAGGCTACTCCACAAAAGTAAAAAAACTGGTGATTATGAGAGAGTATATATTACCAGAAATGAATTGTTAATTAAAATACCGATAACAACAAAGAATAACGTCTAATAACGTACAAGTATTTGTACAACTAGGACAAATTTGTATCGGAATCGTGAAATGCTATTTGTTTTTCTCTAAAAATATAATTTAACAGGGGAAGAAAACTAGGGCTTCTGAACGAACTTTAATCCAAACTGTAGAACGAAAACGATAATGAAATTTGAAGAATCTATTTTACTCTCATATTTTGGATATGCAAATATAATTACTAAACTTGCGCTTACTAATAAAGATATAGCCATAAAAAAGTCAAAATGTTTAATATTAGAACAAAACAGGAATAAGGCTAGAGGGCAAAAGCTCATGAATCCATTTAAAACAACTCACAAGTTCCTCTGACTTAATGACGCTAGTTGGGACCCCTTCGTCTTGCATTATTTCCAGCCTGTTTTTCTTGCAAATTTTCAATTTTTTTGTCTTTGAAACACCGGACGCATTTTTGTCCGAAGTATTGCCAGCTCTACGCCCTTTTTGCTCCTGGCTCATGCTTTTTAAATTTGAATTTTAAATCAGCTGACTATGATGACCAAAAAATCGATATCTTTTCCACCTCTTCAAAGTTGCAAGTTTGCAAATTCGAAAACACAGTGGATACGATATCGCAAATTTTACTTGTAAGTTGGTATTATAACCAAATATTTTCGAATGGTAACAGATAAAACAGAAATAGTAACTTGCGGATTCAGTCAACATAACGTTGAAAATTGTAGAATTTAAAGTTCAGTAAACACAAATGCATTCAAGTTAAACTTCAAATAAACGAAATAGAAATCGCTTTAAGGTCTTCCTTCATCAACACTAGCCTAGCGAAGACTTTCAACTATCCACAAATGTATTTCTGAACAGAAGATGTGATTTTCTTACTTGGAATCGCATATTTGGAGGTGAATGAAGAAGGTCATTTCACCTCAAAGAAATTTGCACAAGTACAGTGAACAAATTGTATACCAGCGGCGAATTATGTGTTCGATTTTTCTCCGTTTTGAGTCTTGCAATGAACCACGGATGCAAATAAATATATATATATCGGATTGTATTATTAGAACATCTTCAAAGGATCTTTGAGGCTCTTCCAGCGGTAGATATATAGACGTGTCAAGTTCCAACTCCAATGATTAAATAAAAAAAATGTTTCCGGATAAGACCTTAAGGACAATGACTCGTAGTATTCTAATTAAAAAAGCACTTTATTTGAAAATCGAAGCTTTCACGCCTCTTTCACGAATTGCTACCACAAGATTATGCAATCATTAAACAGACTTAGTTGAGAATACCAGTAAGATAAAAAACTTGAATTATCTTATAGTTGTTACAAAGCTGCGCTTCTGAAGCAACAATGATCACATGAGAGGGTTAAAACATTGAGAGTGGATACATTGGCTATTGCTGAAGCATATGTGGAGCAAAGTATATTATTATTTTTATTATTCCGATCTATCCATATTGCGACTTTACACATAGGGAAGCAATTAATTACTTCTGCATACATAATGCAGAAGTCTGCAAGCAATAATACCCCACGGCTATCACTGTTGATTCTCCTGACTGATAGACTGACTGACTAAAGCACGACTAGATTACTCTTGGAGGATAAGGACGTAGGCGCGTAATTGTAGGAGATGGAGGGGTGTTCAACCATGCGCTCAATTCTGATTTGTTAGTTGCTGGGCGCAGGTGAGAGTGTACGCATTTTGTCGCATTCTCTCTCTTCCCTGCTTACTCTCCAATAAAGAAGAAGTCTAATTGTAGGGAGGGAAAATTTCGCAACTAAAATAAGGGAAGAAGAGGAAGAGAGAGAGAGAGAAAGAGAGGGAGAGAGAGAGAGAGGGAGAGGCGAGAGGGGGAGAGGAAGAAGGAGAAATGCGTGAATTGTGGACATTGAAGGAGAGCCAATTGACATAAGTGGTGGACTTAACACTTCTACACCTGCGCACATGTGTGCATATTTTCACGCGATTTACCCACTTGTGTTTGTGCGTGCGTGTAACTGCGGGGTGTGATTTTCATGTCCCCCTCACCCCACACACGCTTTTGTGCCCCTCATTTTTGGTGGTCGGTGTTATTTCTTCTATTTCTCCACCGTCATCACCATCATCTTAACCTGCTCCCCCCCCCTGTGAGGCACTTAATGGGAAGTTCACCGAGCTAGCACCGATTATTCACCTCCTTCACCTGATCCTCATTCTATGTTCGGCAATGAAGAAGTATACATTACTGCAAACCTACTTCTTTCTCCTCCTCTTGCTCTATAGAAGTGCCCTCGCTATTACGGAGAATGCTCTGACAGCACTCACCTTCAATCATCACAACGGAGTGTGGATGAACAAGGGTGCCGCTTACTACCGCTGTGCATCACCTCAGTTTGAAAGGCGAACATGTGCAAATTTCAGTCATATTCATAGCCCCGTAACAAAGAACCAAGTTATCCGTCCTCATTGTGCCTTTCTGTTGCATAGAATTTCCTGTGCTTTGCACAGACTCAACTGTCCTTCATATCCAGAATCCTCCTTCCAGGTAAAATTTCTTGTATTTGAATCCATAATATTGAATCGGTATTACATACGGGGTTGATTAACCACATATTAATGCGTAGATGGTATTGAGTTGACTATAGCCAATCTCTCTCGTTGTTGTTGCTGTTGTTTAAGCTTTCATCAGAGAGCCATTTATCTGCCACTCCATTATATTTCCGTAAAGTTGGAAACAGTATTATTTGGGATCCATTTCTCGTCAATATGAGTCCTTTGATTTCTTTTATTTAAACTACGAGGAACCAAAATTAAAAAAAACAAGTAACACAATCCAAAATTTTTCTTTTTTTTTACAATGATAATAGTAATAATAAAATTAGCGTTTCCTTAAGTTCATCCCTAAGTATTATTTATTTATTGATTCTATACTAAAGGTTATTTCAGACTGTAAACTGAACGTTTGCTTAAAATAAATGAGTAGAATTTAATTAGGAAACAAACCTACCAAATTAAACTAAGTCAAATTGCTCGTTAACGACATGTATTCAAAGCAGAAGCTAGTTTGATAGGCGAAGGAGAATGCAAAATTTGAAGTTTCTTTTGAGCTCTTTAAAAAATTAAGAACATGTTTAAGAGTCTATATTTGACCTCACCTATCTTTGAAAATCAGCTCAAATGCCCTTACTATTTAATGTTTAGGAGATGTACAACTTATAAATTCTATGCTCGAAAAACCTTTCATGCACATCAGTCTGTCCATAACTGTGGCAATATTTGAATAAATTTGGGGTGACATAACCGAATTGGGAATTTTATTAATGAGTCCATAAATTATGTAGGGTTTTACTCAACCC